ACACTCAGAGAGGTGAAGCAACTTACCCACATTCATACACCTTGTGTCAGAGGTGGAGTTTGAACTCAGGGTTTCCTGACTCCAGGTCTGGCACTCTATCCACTAGTCCATGCCACCTTTCCACTTGAAAGAGATGACTTTGATAACCTCTTTTATTTCCAACAATTTAACAACCTAAACTTAACCTTCACTGTCACAAGGACCATGAATGTCTTCTTTATTCTGTCTACTTTGTCTCTGATTTCGACTTCACCAATTGATGACAAAGAGATAGAATAGCAACTGGGAGGAAATCAAGGTTACAAAAAAATACACTTAGTAACTAAGGTTATTTGAAGGAAACTATCAAAAGCAATCAGAAAAGAAAAAACAAAACAAAACAAAAACAACAGCCAGAAGCAGGATAAGTATATCTGCTTCACTATTTTTATTGGACTGTTTCCTATAAGAGACTATGGAAAATAACAATTCTTAAGATAAAACTTAAAACCATGAAATCCTGCCAAGTTCTAGAACACAGATATCATGGCAATCAGTAGTGAAAGTTTTCTTTTGACAGCTGGGATACAGATTATACTAATAACCGAATGGAAAACTAAATTGAACTAAATGTATAGAAAAAAAAAGATGTGCTTCTAATACTTACCATTCTTTTAAGTCAATGAGGACAGCTAATATTTTCCACATCAAAGAAAAGCACAGTGCTTAACATTCAAAATGTTTCAATTACAATCTATGCTAAATTTTTATTCCCTCTAAAACACCTATTGTTTCATCTTGATTATTCAAAGAACTTATACATTTACTTATTTATATGCATGTGTGTATTACACAGAGATCGTAACATTTACACACTTATTCATATGCAATAAAAATATTCTCAAACGCAGAGACAGGATGGCAAAGTGGATAGAGGGCAGGCTTCAATCAGGATCACCTAAATTCAAGGCTCACCTCCTATACATACATCTGTGACCCTGAGCAAGCCATAACCTCACAAAGCCCCTGGATACTTTTCAAATTCTAAATTGCAGATAAATTGCTAATTAGTATCAACTGAGGGAGTTTCTACACTCAAGATGACATTATACATAATTGTTCACATGCTTCTTCATCTGTATACTGTGAGTTTCTTGAATGGAAGGACTATCCCTTACCTTTCTTTGTATTCCTAGTTTAGCTCTGTGCCTGGTGTGATGGCTGACTGACACTAATGAAATCACAAATCCAGGTCCTACACACACCCCCACCAACATATATTAGCTTTATACATGGTGTCCCAAAAAGTCTTAGTGCAGTTTCAAGCTATTAACATATATGCATATATACAAAACACACATACACACACACACACACACGTAATTTTAACAAATATAGTTATTACCAGACATTGAGAGGAAACAGTTTGGTATACTAAAAAGAACACTAGATGTAAAGTCAGATAACATGGTTTGACCCTTGGCTCTACTATTTGTTACCTACATGACCTTGGAGAAGTTATTTAACTTCTGTCAGTCTCAATTTCCTCATAAGTAAAAGACTAGATTTCTTACAATGTCCCTTCTAAGCTCTAAATCTTCTGATCCTATAAATGTTGTTTGCTTAATACTCTCACTTAATACTCATTTACTGTCATATATTCTGATTCTACTCCTTTACATGCATGAGTATCGTGTGCATAATGCTACAAGATTTGACCCAGTGACTAGATTTTTATCACAGAAAAAATTATGTTGCTTTTAAATTATTAATAATCCAACTGAAGAATTGAAGAAATAAATAAAAGCCCCACCAAGAAAATCTGTATTGTCCTTTATATATGTGTATATATGTGTGTGTGTATATATATAATTATGTGTGTGTGTGTATATATATATATATATATATATATATATATATATATATATATATATACATATATATATGGGTTTTTTTTAAAGGATTCTGAGGCATGGAAAAACACAGCTTCCTTCTTTACACACGATACCAGGAGTAAACTGCATACAAATCTTGAAAATGTAATTTCATATACTCCAAACACAAAGCCTACGGTTGTAAAGTCATATCAGCTTAAGGATTAGTGTCCTAGAGAAAGCATTCCTAGGTAAATAGGATTTTTAAAAATTCCTTAAATGTGTTTAGGTTCACCATAACAAGACATAGGCTAAAAATTGATGGAATGGGGAAATCAGAGGGACTGGCCTCATCCCCTCCCAAACAAACAAAAACACCCTGACAAAAACACAACAATCATCTGTGAAAAAATATTCCTCAAGAACTGCAATAATGTTACCTCCTTCCATACATGGAAAAAAAAGAAATTATTGAGCAAAATGTCTGGCAGAAGACAGATCACTCATTAAACAAAGTAAATAATTCACAAACTTGAATTTCCACAGAACAGGGTAAAACCCAGCAAGATTTTAAATGTGCCATGCTTTTATTAGCCAGATAGGAAAGTTTAAGTGTGCATTTTATCCATTTTCATTTCTCCTTTTTTTTCCCTTAAGGTTTTATATAAAGCCACAGGATGCTTTAATAAAATCATTCTATTGACCACCTTTATGTCTGAAGCAACCATTAGCCACAAGTATCTCTGAGAAAATCAACATAAAGCATGCTGAGTCAGTATCCAGTGTCTTTTTAAAAAGAACTAACTGCCTTCATTACCTATTTTTATGTTGTTCTAATGGAAAATATAACAAATTAACAAGAATTGGTATAATAAGAGAATCTCCTAGAAAAATCCATTTAGACAGCTGATGTCCACGATCATATATTTCACATATATATTTAAGACACTGACGGGGGGAAAGAGGGAATCTATTGAGACAATTTAGCTACACCTACAGTGGAAGAAACACTTACCAATGTTGTACTTTCATTTCCCAAATGAGGAAGGACTAGAATATTTCAGTGAGTCCTATAAACTAGTTCAGTGTTTAAAAAGGAAAAAAACACAAGTCACTTCAAATTAGTAATCTTCCATTAGGGGAGGTAAATTTGCACCTATAATTTCTTCAATGTGGGGAAAAACTCTCCACCAATGTGACAATTCATTGTCTTAGGGAGTTGTCAGAGGCACTGAGAGATTAAGTGACTTGGTCACAAAGGTTGTGTCAGAGACAGGACTTGAATCCAAATCTTTCAGACTGCGAAACCAACTCTCTGTCCACTATGTCATGCTGCCTCCAGTAATAGACCAATTTGGAACAGTGTGGGCCCTGTCTATATACTTATATTTCTTCCATTAAGAGCCATCTCTGAAGTCCTTCATGTATTTTTTCTTTACCCTAAAATTGAAAGCATAATATCTGCAAAAGCAAGAGCAGGATTAAACATAGCTTCCTATGGGATATTTATGTTGCCACGCAACTAAATACAAAATTGCTTTGAGCAAAATGAGAACGAACTGCCCACTTCACCCAAATGAAACATACAACTCTTTCCTCTTCTCTTCTTCCCTCCCCCACACTTCTTGAGAATCAATGGGCTAGAAAAAGTTAGGTTCAACAGGTTAAGCTACTACAAATATCTTTGTTGTTGTTCAGTCCTGTCGGGTTCTTCATGACTCCATTTGGGGTTTTCTTGGCAAAGATACTAAAGTGGTTTGCCATGGCCTTCTCTAGTTCATTTTACAGATGGGGAAACTGAGACAAACAGGGTTAAGTGACTTGTCCAAGGTCATACAGCTAGGACACATCTGAGGCCAGATTTAAACTCAGGAAAATGAGTCTTCCTGAATCCAGGCCTGGCACTGTATCCACTATGCCACCCAGCTGCCCCAGCTATTAGAGGATTGGGCCTGAGGCATTCTAGCTGTGTGACCCTGAGCAAGTCACATGACCCTGTTTGCCTCAGTTTCCCCAACTATAAAATGAGATGGAGAAAGAAATGGCAAACCACTCCAATATCTTTGCCAAGAAAATTCCAAATGGAGTCATGAAGAGTCGACGTAATTGAAACGACTGAACAACAACAAACAACAAAATATTGTAATTCCATACAGGACTACTTAAAGAACCACTCCCAATAAGGTAGGGACCAACAGTACTAGTCCTAGCACATTCTACAACCTCGAGTTTTAATGATTTACATAGTCTAGTACTTGCTACTTCTAAATAAGTACTTCTTCCTAAGCACTAATTTAAATTTCCCCTTGTGCTCCTTTTGTGAAGATGAAAAATAATGGGCCAATTCCTTTTAATTACCTTAACATGTACTATTTTTCACACTAAGGGATGCCAATTATGCTTACAATGTGAAAGGAATGTCAAAGGCTATAGGCAGTATAATAACTCCTTAGGAGATAAGGAGTATGAATCCTGGTTTCTTTTTCTTATTTCCCATCTTTATTCTTTCACCTTTCTTTTTTTAAATATTTTTATTTTTAGGCAATTGGGGTTAAGTGACTTGCCCAGGATCACACAGCTAGTAAGTGTCAGGTGTTTGGTCTGAGGCCCGATTTGAACTCAGGTCCTCCTGACTTCAGGGCCAGTGCTCTATCCACTGCAGCACCTAGCTGCCCCCCTTTCACCTTTCTTTAAGTAAGTTTCAAAATGTCCAAGATGCTCAGCCAATCATTCAACATGTAAATTAAGATTTGGGGAGGAAAAGAAAGGTGAGAAAGGAGGAAGAAGGGGAAAGGGAAGAGGAGGGGGAGGAGGAAGAGGAAAAAGTAGACAAGAAAAGGAGAAAATGTACAGAAATTATACTGAGCATGGAATATTATATTCCATTTATGGAATTCTAGCTTTAAAGTAAGTGAAAAGGTAGATGACCTTTATTTACCCTGTAAGAAAACTCCTTGCTTCTCTCGGGGCTCAATAGAATAACATGTTACAATATTGCCGTGTATGACTCCAGACAAGTCACTTAACCCCAGTTTGCTTCAGTTTCCTCATCCGTAAAATGGGGTAATAGTAGCACCTACCTCCCAGAGTTGTTGTGAAGATTAAATGACATAAGAATTGTAAAGCACCTCACACAGTGTCTGACATGTAGTAATACTTGTGGTGGTTGTTGTTATTTGTTCCATCCTATTCTGGTCTCTTCTTCTTTGAAAAAACCTCCCTCTTTATGAGTATACCCCCTAATGACTAGAGAGGTAAAAAAAAAGTAAAAGTAAGACATTATATCCCAGCATGCAAGAAAACAGCTGTACTTTAGTTAATTTTAGTTCTTTTGAGCCATGGTCATTTAGCCAGGTTGCCATTTAATTGGTATGAATATGAGGTTACAAAAAAAGAACAGACTGCCATCCTGACACTCTTGACTGCTTCATTCATTGGGACACAGCTATTTTCAGCTGATCATTTTACCCACCTATGCACTTAAACTATATTACCCAATCACTTTGAGAGGTGACTTGGTAATACAAAGAACTCACCTAAGAAAACATGGATTCAAATCCTGATTTGACCACTTACCAACTCAATGACCTTAGTCAAGGCAAAATGTCATAGAACTGTAGAGTTGAAATGGACTTTGGCGGTCACCTAGTCACACAATCACAGGCTCTCAAGAGGCCATCTACTCCAACTGGTACCTGAAATGGAATCTCTTCTGCTACATCCCTAAAGGGTGGTCATTACAGCCTCCACTTCAGTGGAGGTAACCCAAAACCCTGGGAGGCAGTCCAATTCACTTTTGGACAGCTCTAAACGTAATGCAAGTTATCCTGACATGGAGCTTAAATCTGCCTTTCTACAGCTACCACCCACTGCTTCTACCATAATAAGACTAATTTCTTCCATGTGGCTATCTTTCACAGTTTCATCTCCAAATCATCTCTTCTCCCAGTTAAACATCCTCATTCCTTCCAATGATATTTTGGAACAGTCCTCTTCCTACGTTGGTCATCTTCCTCTAAACACACTCCAATTTGTTTATGTCTTTTCCTAAAATGTATTGACCAGAACTCAACACAATACTCCACATGTGCTATGACCAGCAAAGAGCACAATGCAACTTGCTTCAAAGTGTCTACGAGACCAAACAATCAAGTATAACTCAAAACAATTTGTTTGCTACGTTTGTTTGTTTGAGGGGGAGTCTGGTCTGTCACTTTAGAAATGCAGGAAACTTTCTGTGTGGAAACTCTCCACATCAATACAGGAGCACAACTTTCTTGTGGCTCAGTTTTAGAGAGATGCCTGAGTCATTAAGAGATACTTTAGTCAAGGTTATGTCGCAATTTTGTATCAAAGATAGGATTTTAAACTCAGGTATTCCTGACTTCAAAGCTAGCTGTATATCTATTTTCTTTTCATTTTTACAGTTTTGAACACTTCAGCCCACCATCACATTACCTTTCTGGCCCTTGATTTTCATATATGTAAAATGGGGGTAATAATATCCGTACTATCTCCTTACAGGACAATAATATTTGTACTACCTCCTTTATAGGGTTCTTGGTAGGAAATAGCATATGTAAAAATGTACATTTTGTAACTTTTAACTGCTATGTTATTGGCAACTGGGTGGTACAGTGGATAAACAGTGGGACCTGGAGTCAGGAAGACTAGCTATATGAGCCTGGTCATCACTTAACTGCTGCATGCCTCAGTTTCTTCATCTGTAAACTAGAGATAACAATAGTATCTACCACAGATGCTGTGAGGATAAAAGGATATTTGTAAAACTTTTTGCAAACCTTAAAGTATTATATTATTAGCTGTTTTCATAAGCTATGAATAATACTAGCAAGCATGTATATGAAACTTCAAACTCTGAAAAGTACTTTATATGTTATCTCATTTGATCTCCCATAGCCTTGTGAGATAGGTGCTATTATTAGCCCATTTTATAGATGTGGAATGGTTTGTCCAAGGACACACAGCTATTTAGTGTCTGAGGTGAATTCAAGTCTTCTTAACTACAAGCCTAACATCATCTGTTGCGCCACCTAGCTACCTATGCAACAATGAAGACATTATCAACTAATATCAATAACATTAATACAAAACACCTACCAAGAAATGTTAAAATAGTTTCAAAAAATAGACACTTTATAAGAGCAGGTTTGGTTGATAGGTAGAGTGGCTATGCCTGTTTTACAGCCATTTATCAGGACTCTGACTCTTAGATAATGGGCATATATGCCATTTGAGGTTCACCACCACCTTCCCATATCTCAGATTTTCTTTGTGAAAAATAGAATTATTAACACTGTCCAGCTGAAAATATCTTTGTTGACATTTACAGATGTGGAAGGGAACCATTAACGTCTCACCTAATCTCTAGGAACCAAATTCTTGATAGAAGGCAGACATGACACCTTAGTCAACAAACCTCTCCAGACAAATGGCTTGCTAGTGATTTTTGCAAAATACATCACAAATGAATAAACTGTGCTTGAATGCTATTTTGAAATGCTAATCTAACCTAAAGTCACAATTACAGATGTCTTGAAAAGACTGAGATAATCACCTAGTGAATTGAAATCAAAAACCTGAAGTTGCTATTTTGTCCTTTCAACTTGAAAAAAAAAACAAGTGTTTCAGCTATGTTATTACGGAACTTCTCATAAGGAAGAATTAATAACCATCACCAACTACAAATAGTTTCCTGCATTAACCACCTTCTAAAAGCAATATAAAAAACTTTTTTTCTTATACATCACTATAGATATTAACAAGTTTCATAGTGTATGTTGATTAACCTAATTAAACTAACCTAATTAATTAAATTAACCTAAAATTTACACCATTTGAATAAATGATAAAATGCTAACTTTGCATTAAACTTGTCATGAAACAGGTTAACTTGACACTTTGGCTACCACTTTCCTCTAGCATTTATCCTGTTCTTTTTTTAAGGTTTAATAATTCACAAGTGGAAAATACGGAGAAAGAGGAAAATGAAGTTAGAGTTTAGAGAGGAAAAGAGCAAAGACCTAAAGGTCATCAAAATAAACAATGAACAAAATCAAGAGGAGACACTTAGATAGAAAACCCAAAAGAGTCATGAAATGTAATTAACAAACTAGGATAGGACTGTCTCCTGGCCAGAAGAAAAGGGGACCAGCCAACACACACACCAACTTCTGCATCTCATTTTGTTTTAAAGTATTGTTTGCTACAAATAAATGATTTTAAAAGAGCATGATCTTCCAGCAAATCCATTGTCTAATTATTTAACAACTTGACAAAGATCCCACACTTTCGATTCTAACTTCTTAAAAAAAAAAAAGAAAACTTTAAAACTATCATGCAAAAGAGACAAACATGTCAGTGCAGCCTATAAGTTTCCAAAATCTGTAGCTAACTGTCCAGAGCAATGCAATACATAACAAAATCTAACCTCAAGTAATCTCAGATAGATATCACTAAATCTGAATAACTGGCATATACTACTTCCACAAGCCAGGAAGGTATAGAAGGATTGTGTTTTTCCAACAGAAAAACTAAGTTAACAGCAGAATAAGTATAATCCCTGTGATTTCATTTCAAAGAAGTCTTCCCCAAATCCTAAATCTCCTATCTCCAAGTTGCAACAAAACTAAAATCAAATGATATCTCAAACATTAAAGCACGTCTGAATCTAGGTTTCAAAAACTATATGACCAAGACATTAGCTATTTCACATTTTTAACTGATGATACTTTAGTGCAAGCATTTAACTTTGCCCAGAAAGCCAACAATACACTCATTTAAATGATTGGTAAAAATAGAATTTCCATATACAACTCCAAATGCTCAACTTCTCTAAGATTTTTATTTCCATAGTTAACAGTAGTTAATTTTACCTAGCTTTTGTTTGAGACAACAATTTAGAACACATATCCTTAATAGTACTTATGAGGTGAGCATCCTCTGCCTCTATGAAATAATGTCACGGTACATGGAGTGCTGGAATTCAAGTTAAGAAGAGAAGGTTTTAAACTCACCGCAACACACCAAAAACAATAGGGAACATTTAAATAGCACTTACTAGCATAGAACTAGGCACTGTGTTAATGCTTTAAAAATATCTCATTTGATCCTAACAACAATCCTGGGAGGTGGTGTCCTTATTTTACAGTTAAGGAAACTGAGGCAAATAGTGACTTGTCCAGGGTCACACAGCTAATGTCTGCAGCTAAATATGAACTCTTCCTGCCTCTAGACCCAGAACTCTATCCACCTTGATATCTCAAGTCTCTGAGCCTCATTTCCCTCATCTGTATTATGGAGATAATAACTCTACTACCTACCTCACAAGATTACTGTGAATCTCAAAAGAGTTTACATTTGTAAAATGTTGTACAAACGTTAAAGCCACAAATAAACACCTGCTATCATTACCATTCTTGTGTACATTAGTTAATGTTTCAAAATTCAAGTAACAGAGACACAACCATAGTCACCTTAAGTTCAATGCAAGGTTTATTGGATAACACATACTACCAATATAACACTCACATAAAAAAGATCCATAAGTCAGTTGGCCAGCAAGCATATATTAAGCTCTTACTATGTGCCAGGCACTGAGAATACAAATACAAGCAAAATGAATGACACGTATGTTCTCCACCTCACTGCCAACCCTACAAGCCCCTGTTTTGGTTTGGTTCAGGAAAGCAGTCATATGCCTAGGTAGGTAAACAGCTCAGTCCAGACCGCCAACTGGTTCTGTATGGCTTAATATCAGGACCTCTACGGTTCTTATACTGGGGAAGAATCAGGTCCTTTTATAAATGCCCCAATCTTATGGTAAGTAGTAGTTTGGGCTAAGCACAGTGGCTGGCAGAAATTTTTTGGAGTCAGGGGTTGCATTCACTGATTTTCATTAGTCATTGCATGTCACTCCGGTTTTAGGGCAAAAAGAGACTAGTTCAATCAACTTGCATCAATTACAATGGTTCTAAAGGCAGAAGCATTAGGGTTGTAGATTTAGAGCCGGAAAGGGTATCTCCTAAATTTGAGGCTTAGAGAGATGAAGTGACTTACCCAAGGTGATACAGGTAGTTAGTAGCAGAGCTGGGATTTTGAATCAAGGCTCTTGGACTCCAAACCCAAAGATTTCAAAAAATTGCAAAAGCATTAAGAATACAAGTGTAAACGGTACTGGGAGGCTATAGAACAAAAGGAAAAGAGAAAGCTTAGGGGAATATGAAATACATCAAACCCAAATGTAGTGAACATTGCGAGAAAGAAAGGCAGTCTTCTCCAAAGTAACGAATCATTTGCAAAAAAAAAAAATCAATAAAAGGTAGTAACACAACGTAAGAAAAGAAAACCATAATAACTCGGGGGATTTTTTTTAATTCAACAGAGTTCTGCTTTAATTTGGAGAGAGAACTATAAATGGCATCTTATCCCTCTCTTCCCCCCCCAAAAAAAGACACTTTCAAAGGAATCGTTAGCACCAACCATACTTTTTTTTGGGGGGGGAGGTAAAGAGGAAGGCTATGAAAACCTGAAGTCTACGACCGTAAGATGTGAGACGAATACTAGGTCTATGAAAGCCCAGCTGACAAGATAAGACCCGGTGTAGTAGCTAAAAGCTCAAGTTACAAGGAAACACTATATGGACATTTTGTGTTTCTCTCTCCCCATCTTCCCAGGGCGAAAAAAAAAAGGTGAAATTCTCGCAAAATTGTAGCTATAAAGCTGGCAGTGCTCTGTTTGCAGATACGAACGTCAGAAAGCAGAATAAATCCAAGCCCCTGAAGGTAGAAGACACAAACCAACCTTAAATATACCCAGAGGGCAGGAGTTGGCTGCCTGCACCTTACTCCAAACACCAGTTGAAAGACGCAAAAGTGAAAAGCCGATTACTGCCTTCAGTCCAGTTAAACAACAGAAAAAGCCAAAGAGATTTTTTTTTAATCAAGAGAAAGAGTTAAATAGTCAAGCATTTGGGAAACCTACATGACCCCTTTGTTGGAAATGTTTTGGTCAAGTGGCTCTCTTACCTTGGTAGGCTGTTTTTTCCTTGCTCAGAGCCAGCAGCGAGCGGTGCACAAAAGCTTTTCTTGGAGCTCAGCAAGCTCTCCTCCTTGGTCAAGGACCGAAGAAATGGACTTGGGTTTGAGGTGAACTAGCAGAAGCCCCGCCACTCCCCGACCCGAGGCAGCGCCTCCCGAGTGTCCCCGGCCGGGAAAGCCAGCTGCCTCCCGCACCGATGCTTGAGAGAGGCGGGACGAGAAAAGGACCTTCCCAGCGAGCCTAACTCTCCCCAGCCAGACCCGCTGCGCGCTCTCTCCGCTGCCAGAGTAATCCCAAAGCTTCTTACTCGCTACTTAGACTAGCCCTTCGTGCTGAGCATGCCCAGTTCGGCCGCGAACGCCACCCTAAGGGCTTGCAGCAAGCTTCATATTCCACTTGTCCGGGTTTTGCCTGCAGCTCAGAGAAGAAGGCGGCTCGAGCTTGGGTAATGGTGAACCATCTGGCTGACACCAGCATTGAACGTGAAAAAAGGCTGGGGAGAAAAAGGGGAGGAACGCGAAAGTTATCATGGTATTGATCGGAGTTTGAAACCACTGCTTCCTAACGGATCCATGTCCCTTTTCGAGATCATTAGTGCTGCTAGGCAGATAACGCAGAAATGCCAAAAGGGCAAATATTGGCAGGGCTTGGGTTGGGAGGAAGGGGTCCAACCCCGGACGCCCGTGACAAAGCTCTGTTGGGGAAACAAATACATCCCAGAGAGGAGGGGAGGAGGAGGAAATAGTGACGTGCGCCCCGTAAACCTTACAACTGTTTGGGGGGAAAATCTTTCATACAGGAATACTCATTCTCTGGCATTGACGAGGCCAGTGAAAGGTAATTGATAGATTGCATGCTTTTCCATCTCCTTGGTTCTCCTTTCTTTTTTTCCCTTTATCTTTTCTTCTTTCCCCTTTCCTTTTCTCTCCTCCTCTCCTGTTTTATTTCTTCCCGGTGTGTTTCTACTTCCCTGGGTTATTTCTGCTGAGGACACTCGCTAAAAAGCCCTGGATTTGGAGTTGAGTGGGAGAACCTGGATTCAAATCCAACCTCTGACGCTTATTGCATGACTTTGAGCAAATCACTAACCCTTTGGGGTCCTCAGTTTCCTCATCTGTACATGATGGAGTTGGAAGAGATGGCTTCTAAGATCCCTCTTAGCTCTACACCTGTGAAAGCTACAAAGGGTGGTCGGAAAAACTAATTGAATGAGGGAGGGACTGAGGTAACAAGGTTCAATGGCTAGCTAGCCCTGGAGTCCGAGGATCTGGGTTCAAAGGCCACCTCTGATGATTATTTATCTATGTGACCTTAGGCAAATCACTAAGTATCCCTGGACCTTGGTTTTCTCATTTGTAATATGAGAGGATGGGACTAGATCACCTCTAGATCTATGATCCTATGAATTTATGATCCCCTCAGCATGAGATTCCCTGAAAATAAATTCTATTCACAATGTCCCTAAACAGTCAGGTGCCCTGAAGTGGAAACTTTAGCTCAAATTAGCAAACCAAAACAGACAGACCTTGACTGGAGCCTGTTCTATTTAGAAGAAGGAAATGAATCCTCAGCATGGATAGATTATCAGTTTTACCCTTTTTAAAAACATCTGTTCTATAAGCCATCTTCCATCTTGTGACCCTGCCACCACCCTACTGCAAGCCCTCATCACCTCATACTTGGACTATCGAAATAGACTGCTGTCTCATCTCTTTGCCATGTGTCACTCCCCACTGTAGGCTATTCTCCACTCACACACCAATATGATCTTCCTGCAGTACAAGTCTGACCTTATCTACTCCCCACACTCAATAAACTCCAATGGGTCCCTATCACCTCCAGGATCAAATAAAAATTTCTCTTTTGGGTGTTGAGTCCTTCTTTGACTTTGAACCTCCTCTCTCCTTACCTTTCCATTCTTCTAATACCCGTGATGACACTGGCTTCCTTGTTATTCCTCAAACCAGACACTCCATCCCCCAGTACTGGACATTTTCACTTAACGTCCCCCATTCCTGGGATGCTCTGTCTCATCATATAAGCCTCCTCGATTCACTGGTTCCCTTCAAGTCCTAAGTAAAATCCCACCTTCTACAAGAAGTCTTTCCTGATTCCTCTTAATTTTAATGTCTTCCTTTTTGTTGATTATCTCCAGATTGTCCCATACATGGTTTGCTTTGACCTAGTTTTCATGTTGTCTTGCCCATGAGACTGAGAACCTCCAGAGCAGGAAATGTCTTTTGCCTTTCTTTGCATCCCTAGGACTTAGCACAGTGCTTGACACAACAGTAAGTGTTGCATAAATGCTTATTGACTAACTAGATGACAAAAAAAGTCCTTTCCAACTCCAAAAAAAATTTGCAGTTCTGAAACTGTGATTTTTCCATTACTACTTTTCATAAACTTTTTATTCCAGTGGCCAGTACACCACCACCACCGCTGCTTCCATCAAGAAGTCATTAAAAGGTATTTTCATTGTCTCATACACATTTTATTTTCTCTTTTCTAAGCCAATACCCTAGTACTTATGTGTCTGTCCATATTGGATTTTTGTCTAGATCTATTTATAACCTGTTGAAAATCAATAGAAGGCCAGAACAATGAAGACAAGCTTCCTATAGAAAATTTGCTAATTATTTATTTGTTTGATTCTGCTTGAGAAGTTGAGAAAGATGAGAGTGAAAACAGAGGCAAGAAGGAAAGCCCCAGTTTCTTGAGTTTTTGGAAGTCAATTCACTAATTATTCATTAAGTGCCTACTACGTGCCAGTCACTATGATAAGCACTGGCAGGGAGTGATTGTGCTTGAAAATTGTTAGTTTAGGGCAGGTGTGTCCTGGAAATCCACAGGAAAAAAAATAAGACATTTGGAATTAGGATGAGTGAGAGTCAGGGGAAGAAAGAATTTATAGAGTCAGGAAGAGACCTTGGAACTAATCGAATCCAGCCTTCCAATCTATGCAGGAATCTTTCCAAATACATACCTACCAGATGGTCATCCAAGGACCTGCTTAAACACTCCACAGTACTCCCCACCTCACCCCTGCTTTGTGAAGTAGCATATTCAGGTTTTTTTTTACTTTTATAATTGCCCTCCTGATTTAAAATTGATCTTCTTATAACTTGCACCTATTGATTCAAGTTCTGCCTTATGAAAGTACACACATTAAATCTGACCCCTCCACTACAAGACTGGCCTTCATATATTTGAAGCTAACTTTCATGTCCCTAAGTCTTCTCTATCCTAAACATCCCTATTTCCTTCAGCTGTTCCACTGGGAATGGCACCAATCCCTAGACCAGCAGTCCTGTTTCTACTCCAGCCCTGAAAACCATCTTCCAGGGAAGCAACTCCTGTGTAGAAAGGGTTAGTCATCACCACCAACGCCAATCAACAACCACACACAAAGGACAGGAACACCAGCCTAGATGAAGTAGCAAGGCATTTCTGAGGGAAAGACAGGAAATATCACTTTTTAGGCAAGCAGAACCATCACCACCTTGAGCACCATCTCCCCTCAGACTCTGAGGAAATCAGCTCAGGACCCCGAACCAAGGGCCTTGAGAAGAGCACAGTGTCCATAGCCATCATCCTAGGAAACAGTTCCTGTGGAGATGAAACCTGGCAACTGCTCCTGCAGGTGCTCCAGGCATAGCTACTGAAGACTCAGAAAAGAATGTTTTTACCACCAAAATCCTTGGCACTATCAAATGGTTTTAAATCAATAAATGACATGATTTTATCAGTGGAAATGACATTAAAAAAGAAGTATTACCATCCATTTTGCCACTTCACCCTAAGCTCCATGAGACCCTTCATTCTGATTTGCAGCTGAAATCTTTCATTTGCCATGCCTTCCCTTATTATAATGTTAACTCCTTGAGAGTGGGGATTGTCTTACTTTTGTATTTATATCCCCAGCACTTCACATATCACTTTGCCCACAGTAAAAGCTTAATAGATGCTTCATTTATTTACCATGCTAGTCATGCTTTTCTGAATGTACTCCAGTCTGTTAAAAATCCCTCTTAAAATGTGATGCTAGAGATTTAAGATGGCTGGTCTCAGAGGAACCAAAAAATCACTCATGTACTATGGTAAAAATCCAAAAAGACCACCAGACTGAATAATGACCAAAAATCTGAAGAGAAACTATAGCATTTTTATCCTTTGTCCAGCCCATATCTGTACAAAAAGACAGCCAGAAACCTGTAGGGATTAGAAAGGGGGTATGAGAAAAGCCAGCCTGAGTGAAGGTTAACAATCCAGAGGCATGTCAGTGCGGACCAAAGACACTCCAGAAGCACTTGTAATCCTCATTGCTCATATTCTAAGGCAAGAGAACCAAAGCACTCAAATGAAATACCTCAAGGGTGGAAGGAAGTTTGAAGTGCTCTGGCCAATCCACTTGTGAACTTGGTAGCACCAGGAGGCCTCAGGGGCACTAGAATTTCACAGAATTCTGACCTGAGCCCTTCCAGAGGACCCTGAAGGCCACAGTACTATGAAGCCAGTGATCTGGGGAGACCTGAAACCTACTAGCGCTGAGCACAAGCACACCAGAGGAAGCAGAAATTAACAACAAAAATCCAGGATGTGAAGTTCAGAACCAAATAGAGTCCAAATAGAATGGAGGAAGGGACAGGGACTGGCCCTGGCATATAGTCCCAAATCAGATATTGAGGCTGAAGTTATGAGTGTACAGGAGATGGCACCAAAAGCTACAGAGAGTATCTCAACAACTATAAGGAGAATCACACATATAAACACGTAGTGGCTTGACTATGACTATTTGAGTAGCTGAAGAAATGAAGCAAGATATTAATAGTGAAATTAAAGTGAAAAAAGAGCTCTGCAGTAAAGAATTGGAAAGAGAGTAAATGACCTAGAACAGAGAATGGAAAACCTTACCCAGGAAAGATAGCCCTTGAAAATTAAAGTGGACCAAACAAAAATTAATCGCTCCATGAGATAAGAAATATTAGCTTAAAATCAGAAGACTGAAAAATAGAAGAAAATGTAAGTTATCAACTCTCAAAAATAACTAACCTGGAAAACAAGAAAAAGATAATTTAGGAATCATCAGATTCCTTGAAATAAAAAAAAAATCTATGGATACTGTAAGAGTAAAGCAAAAATAGAAAAAAAAATATTTACTTCCTGAAAGAAACTGCAAAATGAAAACTCCCTGGACTGTCATCATCAAAATCCAGAGTTTCCAGGTCAAAGAAAATATTGTACATAGCCAAATAGAAAGATTTCAAGGAGCAAAGTCATGATTATACAAAACTTGGAAGATAACATAATGCAGAAGAGGAAATACTGGAATACAATATTGTGAAAAGGAAAAGATAAAGGCTTACAATAAAAAATAACTAACTGCAAAACTAAGAATAATCCCACAGGGAAAAAATGTGCTCTTAATAGAATAGAGGATTTTCAAGCATTCTTAATGAAGAGAACAAAAGAATAAAAACCCTGAAATGCAAACATAGGAGTCATGAGGAACAGAAAGGACCCACTACCCAGTCAATAGAAATTACAGAGCCAGTGGGATTTGTTAACCTCTTTTGTCAAGAAACACTGTTTGTAGGAAGAGAGTAAATGTTCAAAGGTATAACCTGCCCCAATCTTTGTGAGAAAAAAAATGAAAGTTTAAGTGAAATTTACAATTCTATGCTTTCTCTAGATATGTGT